AATTTTCCATGAACTTTCAGAAATTCTCTATAAATTTTCTTTTCCATGAACTTTCAGAAGCCCTATTGTATTATATTTAGAATGAGAATGCTTCTAATGAATACTGTATGAAATGATTTTAGTCATGTATTCATGGATGGGGGAAGGGTTATTATCAGTTACATGGAAAACATATTTCTCAACCTATTCATCATAACAGCCCCAACAATGAGATTGCCACACTAGATGAATATAAATATCCTTCCAGTCAATTTATGATTCATTATAAAAACAAATAAAAGCACTCCGTACTTGCCATTTCAGAGCTAGTCCCAATTTCATAAACACTCTGAAATGTTTAACTGTATCTTTCCAGCAGCACTGAAAGGAATTGATCACTTTGCAGGTTTCCATAAAGAGATGAAGATTTCTTATTCTATAGCCAAGAGTGAAGGTACAGCTGAGAAGACATGTACATATATGTGTCCACTCGGATATTTTTCTCTCAAAACAGATAAGCAATCCCACTATGGTCTATTAAAGTATCCTTGTTAACATATGAGTTGAATACATTTTGCATGTGTTGTTTCAGTCTATGCCATCTGTAGCACAAGATATTTCTGTAAATGAATTTTAAGTAAGGCATACTAAATGTTTCCATAAATTTTGTACATTGGTAGTTTAATACTTATGTTATTGATATACAAATAGCATTACAGTGTAATTGATATGTAAAGGATTAACAATAAGTTTAATAGACATCTATATAATTAACACAATTTCAACTTTTAAAATGGGGGTTATATATTTTTATGCATAGCTAGATCAATAGCTATATCTATATTTATGCACACATCTATATTCATACCTAGGTTTCTCAACTTTGAGCCTTTGACATTTTAGGGTGAAAACTGTGTTATAGTAGTGTGTTGCCCTAAATACTGAAGAATGTTTAGTAACATACTAGTGCTCTAAATATTAGATATAAGAAGGACCCTTCTTTTAGATATGATTCAAAATATCCA